ACCAAGAAATGTTTGAATACATTGCTTCATTGTTTCTGCCAGGAAGAACAATTAAAAAGAAAAAAATACTACGCTATCTAATGTGTGAGTTATACATTGGAAGAAAAAGCTGATCTGCACGAAATAAAGACGTGGTGCCGTCAGTTACCACATTAACTCAGATATATGTAGTACCTGTTTAAACGTCAGGATTGCAATGTTGATTTTTGGCAGGATTATCTTTGTCCTTCTGCATAATGATTTTGACAAAATGAATACCATCATGTTGGGCGATAATAATAGCCATATTCCAGGATAATTTTGGGAAAATTGAGAAATCACATATTCCTCCAGGTTTAAATGTGTTATTATCTTTATTTTTATCACTGTAATGTTAAACTGTAAATCAGCTAGTCGTATTCTTAAACAATACTGCCTTTTGTAATCTAGTGATTCATTACAGCCCAATATAATTACATTAAAGTCAGAAAACAACAAAAGCAACCGATCTCAGTTGTACTGTCCGCCAATATTTATTAACACTGGACAAGCCCTATCCTCACATTGTCAAGCTAAACAATCTCTGTAAAAATCATGACTGAAAAGTAACTTCTCATCACAGGACCAACAAGGGAACTTATGGTATCAGGCCATTTGCAAGCAAGGTCTACTAGAGTTTAATAGGTCTCTGACATATTTTTGTTGTTCTCCTTTCCCTGTATCTTAATGATTATAACCCACTGGCTCTTGTCTTGTACTTGTATTGCCCCATATCACAATGGCTGAATGGCACTTTTTTCATTATGCTGTGGGCAGCTGCTATACATTGCTTGTGCTATCTGCATTGTGGGTGGCCATGGACTCCCTCTTTTTTTCTTTTTGCAAAAAGTACAGATTTCAAAAGAAATTGACACTCTTATAAATTAACTTTCTTATACTCTCTTGGGTCCTGTCACATCCTGGTTTGGTTAGCTCAGTGAAGCTTAACTCAAGAGGCAGCAATTACCCAGAGCACCTACCTTGCCAAGACTTCTCCTTAAAAAAAAAAAATGTGTCTTCACCTGTGTCTTGTAACCCTCCTTTTGATTTTCTTACCCTCTTTAGTATATTTTGTCCCCCCCTTTACTATGTCTTACACCATCTTGTCTGTCTCTTATAAACCCATTGTGTATCTTTCTCTCCCGGGCCCCTTTGTGTGGCTCTCCCCCAGCGTATTTTGTGTCTTTTTGCATGCAATATAGACATAGATTTATAGCAACACGCAACCATACAGGCACTCAGTCACAGAGATATGCAGGCACACAAGCAAACAAATACAGGCACACAGCCATACAATCTATACATACAGGTACAATGTCATACAAACACAGACACTCACAGACACATCCAGACAATGTCATACAGACTCAGGTATACAAAGACACACATACACAGGCTTAAGAGCAGGGGCTGATCCAGAGCCTAATCTTGGGAATGGCACTGGTATTGGGTTTTAGTGGCTGTAATTGAAAAGTTAGGGGATGTAGTAGGGGGCTAGGGGCTGTAGTGGAGTGTATGGGCTGTAATTGGGGAGTTAGTAAATGTAGTGGGGGTACAGGGGCTGAAGTAGGTTAATGGCTACAATTTGGGAAAGGGGCTGTGGTGTGGATGATATGGGTGCAATTGGGGGAGAGGAGCTGTAGTGGGGATGTTATGGGGCTGTAGTGAGGATATGGGGGCTGTGGTGGGGGTGCATGGGGCTGAGTAAGGGGGATAGTGGCTGAGAGGGGGGACAGGGGCTGAAGAAGAGGAACAGGAACCGAGGAAGGTGAATAAGGGTTGAGGAAGGGGAACAGGGGCAAAGGAATGGGACAGGGGCTAAGGAAGGGGACAGGGCTAAGGAGGGGTACAGGGGCTGAGGAAGGGGTAGGGGCTGGGGAAGAGGGACAGGGGCTGAGTAAGGGGACAGGGGCTGAGTAAGGGTACAGGGCTTAGGAGTGGGACAGGGCTTAGGAGGGGGACAGGGGCTGAGGAGGGGAACAGGGGCTGAGTAAGGTGACAGAGCTGAGGCAAGGGACAGGGGCTGAGTAAGGGACAGGGCTGAGGAGGGATAGGGCTGAGGGAGGGACAGGGACAGGAGGGACAGAGCTGAGTAGGAACACAGGGGCTGAGTAAGGGACAGGGCTGAGGGGTAGGGGGCTGAGAAAGGGACAGGGGCTGAGTAGGGGGACAGGGGCCAGGGAACCGGGGCTAAGTAGGGGACAGGGGCTGAGGAGGGGACAGGGGGGCTGAGGAAGGGGGGTAGGGGCTTAGGGGGGGACAGGGGCTGAGGAAAGGGACAGGATCCAAGTAAGGGGACAGGGCTGAGGAAGAAGGACGTGGGCTGAGGAAGGGGCACAGGGGCTGAGGTTGGGGACAGAGACTGAGGACGGGGACATGTCTGAGGAGGAGGACAGGGGCTGAGGAAGAGACAGGACTGAGGAAATGGACAGGGGCTGAGGAGGGGCAATGGCTGGGGGACAGGGCTGAGGGGGGACAAGGGTGAGAAGGGCAAGGACTGAGTAAGGGACAGGGCTGAGGGGGGACAAGGGCTGAGGAGAGGGACAGGGGCTGAGGAAAGGGACAGGGGCTGAGGAAGGCGGACAGGGGCTCAGGAAGAGGAACAGGGCTGAGAAGGAGGGCAGAGGCGGAGTAGGGGGACAGGGGCTGAGGAAAGGGACAGGGACTGAGGAAGAGGGACAGGGCTGAGGAAGGGGACAGGGACTTAGGGGGACAGGGGCTGAGGAGGGGGGCAGGGGCTGAGTAAGGGGGCAGGGGCTGAGTATGGGGACAAGGGCTGAGGAAGGTGACAAGAGCTGAGTAGGGGGACAGGGGCTGAGAAGGGGGACAGGGGCCGAGGAAGGGGGACAGGGGCTGAGGAAGGGGATAAAAGAAAAACTAAATTGTATACCACCCTCCCTGAGGATTACCTTGGGCCAGGGAGGGGTGAGACAAGATCTGGAGTCTGGGAGTCTGCAGCCAGTGAAGTTGGCCGGCCCCTCCTGATAATGTCAGGAGGAGGGGGTGTGACATCCTCTGCTCTACTCCCAAACTCCCCAGCTGTACTGGGAGAAGAGCAGTGAAAGTCACGTCCCCTCCTCCTGACATCATCAGGACAGGCCGGCCGGCTGACTACACTGGCTGAAGGCTGCAGGGAGAGTGAGGTGAGTTTAAAAATTCAGACTTTTGCACCCCCCTGCTCTGGCACCCTAAGGCGGCCGCTTGTACCACCTTATGGACGCGTCGGCCCTGAATAGAAGGTCAATACAGGCATTTCCTGTTTTACAAACTCCCGATTTACGTTTTTCCGCCTTTACGAACACTTTCTGGACGTGCCGCCATTTTGTTTTGCCGATATTTTGTTTCAGTGCTCCATGGATGCTGACCGAGGAGCATGCTTGGCAGCATAGAAAAGAAGAATTTGTGGCCAGCAGAAGATAAGAAGAGAGGAAGGTTATAAATGTGTGTGTGTGTGTGTGTGTGTGTGTCAGAGATTGAAAGTCTGTGTGTGTGGGATGGCAGAGAGGCCCCCCAAAACGGGTCTGGAATTATACAGTAATTTATATGGATTTTTTTCATCAAGAAAAACATCAGGGCTATTAATGCAAACAAAGTTCGGTTATTATTTACATGTCCTACTCATGCCTTCAAGCGACATGATTGTTTGAACAATCTTTTCCCCACTTACTGTTGAATATTGATCTCAGACTGTGCAGGGGGTGTCATTATTTATTATGATGAGGAGCATTATGGGATCTTCAGGGTTATTCATTATTTCTACATTTCAGAATGCAATATTATTTTTTGTAATTATTTTGTACTTTATTATTGCTGTACCTGGTGCTATAATGACCCAGGCTACAAAAGTGTACCTTGTGATGCAGTGTTAGTATGTGCTGTGTGTGTATGTGTAAGGGTGCTGTGTGTGTAGGGGTGCTGTGTGTGTGTGAGGGTGCTGTTAGTGTGTGCTGTGTGTGTGTATGTGTAAGGGTGCTGTGTGTGTGGGGGGGGTGCTGTTAGTGTGTGCTGTGTGTGTATGTGTAAGGGTGCTGTTAGTGTAAGGGTGCTGTTAGTGTGAGGATGCTGTTATTGTGTATGTGATGTGTGTGTAAGGGTGCTGTTAGTGTGTGGGTGCTGTTAGTGTGAGGGTGCTGTTAGTGTGAGGGTGCTGTGTGTGTAAGGGTGATGTATGTGTGTGGGTGCAGTTAGTGTGTGCTGTATGTGTGGGTGCTGTTTGTGTGTATTGTGTGGGGTTGGCGGGACTGTTTAGTTAATAGCCTCCTTTCCTTCTTACCTTTTGTAGGGAGGGGGGACCATGCTGCTGCCATCCCTGGTGGTCCAATGGTGAGTGAACTCTACCCTTCGGGGCTAGAGTTCACTTTTGTGAGATCTGAGCATTGCCGCGGCAACACTCCGACCTCGCGAGAGGAAACCGGCGGAGCTGCTGGCTAGAGCTCCCTGGGTCCTCTCCTGCCTCCCTCCCTGCCTGTGGGCTGGTGAGGGAGATCTTTGGTCTCCCCACTGGCCCATGGACGCACATAGCGCGGGCCACGGGGATTAGGGAACTACCTGTATATAGTCTCTCAGACTACAGACAATTACATGGCTCCCAAGTGTCCCAATTGAGGAGGGACAGTCCCTATTTTAGGCCCAAATCCATCTGTCCATCTTTTCTATCCTAATGTCCCTCTTTTCTCCATATTGTTGGTGTGTCTAATGCCTCGTTTCCACTGAGCGGATCAGTTCGGGTTGGTTCGGTACGGTACGCTATTTTGAGTGTTTCCATTATGAAAGTGGCCCATACAACCGGACCAAACCACACCATTCATGGTCCCCCTTCAGATGTAGGGCCATAGGAAATGGTACGGTACGGTTAGGGTGGAACTACTGGCGTCACACAATACATTCCACTGTTTGGCGGACAGAAAAACGTCAATGCTCACGTCAAAGGCAAGTACGAAACAAACACCACGTCGCCGTTTAGTACAGATAATAGGAGAAGGATGCCTGCAAACAACAGCAAGGTCTGGTCTGCTCAGGAACTATCCACTTTCCTAACTATCATTGGCGATAGCGTTATTCAGAGTGAGCTTGATGGATCAGTGAGAAATGAAAAGGTGTATAAAGATATTTCTCAGCGGATGGCAGCTGAGGGATTTGAACGGACATCGGGTCAGTGTAGGACAAAGCTTAAAAAGCTGAAAGGCAAATATAAAAAAAATTAAGGATGCCAACAGCCGTAGTGGAAACAGTCGAAGTACTTGGAAGTGATACGACGCCATGGATGCCATTTACAGTCATAGGCCGGCAAACCAAGGCAGGGAGGAAGGTCTGGACTCTGCATCTGCACTTCTCGAATCCATGATAGAACCCATTGTTTCGTTTTTTTTCCTACTTTGCATTGGCTTTCGCTCTGCTAACCATTTATAAATTCACTGCACAAAACCATTAACTATTTGCACAAAAAAACACATTTTATTTGTAGTGGACTGAACTATTGAACTGTGCAGTTTCAGATACAGTTGATGGACTCTCCAATGATACCTCAACCTTTTCTTATGTTTCTGATGATGGTCCATCAACGTCGTTCTGCAGCACCAGTACGATGACGTCAACACAGACCCAACCACAGACCCAACCACAGAGTATGCCCAATGCAACCCGGCACACTGGTAAGACATGATGTTCAGAGTGAAAGTTGTAATTGTGAATTTTCCTAACTTTTAATTCACAGCAAACTGTGAACTCACTCAAAATGCTTCTATGTAGTGTGTTTGCATAATTAAATCCATAATCATAATTGTACATTGTCTGTATATACTGCTATTTAAATTTCATTGTGTTTTGAGCTTATCTTAAGTATATTGTGTTTATTGTGTTTATTTTAATGTGTGCTTATACTGTTCTTATGTGTTACATCTTTTCTTTATTTACATTATGTTAGATTATATATATATCCACTTGTTTTTGTACCAATTGCTAAAAAAACAACAAAAAAACACTATTCTGGTATTTTGTATATTCCAGGTGATAGAAGACGGTTTCAGCTGGATTTGCGCACAGTCATGGAGGATATGCAGGCAGCAGAGGAAAGGCAGCAGGAAAGGATGGAGAACCTTTCTGAGCGGCGGTTTCAGGCACTGCGTCAGGATGCCCAGGAAGCAAGGCGCCAGGAGACAGAAATCGCACGGCAGCAGATGGAGCAGTTGGCTACCTTCAACCAGGCCTTCCTTGGTGTCCTTGGGCAGCTTGTTCAAGTGCTGGGAGGCAGTCGTGATCCCAGGTCACCGCCCTGGCAGTAGTGCCTTTCAGCCAGCACAGGACCTGTTCACTTCTTTATTTTTATTTTTTGGTAAAAATATTTATTTTTGTTTTTTGTAAAAAAGGTTTATTTGTAAATATATTTTTTTACTCTGTACTTGGAAGTATATTTTGAAAGATCACTTTTTTAGTTGAATAAAAAACAGGAGAGACTTTGTGTGTGTCTGATTAAATGTAAAACTTTATTAAAACTTTAATAAAACCGCAATGAAACGTTAATAAAATCAGGGTAAGAAATTAAATGTTGAGGTGCCGCATCAGAGCCTGACGTATTTCACTGCACTCTTCTTCGCTATCCTGTGTAATTACCCGTCCTGACTCTTCTGCAGACGTATTCCAATCCTGGTGGAAGTCTTCTCCATGTCTTTCACAAAGATTGTGAAGAGCACAGCAAGTAACCACCATGGATTTGACAAGTGCAATGTCACTGTCATTCCTCTTCATAAGACAACGCCACCTACCCTTAAGTCTTCTGATTGCATTTTCCACTACGACCCATGCCCTGGATGTTTTCTTGTTGTAGGTTTGTTGTTCTGGTGTCAGGCGGCCATTGTCAGGAAATGGTTTCAGGAGCCAATTTTGTAGAGGGTAGGCAGAGTCCCCGAGCACATAATAGCCAACATTCACCTCCCCAATGTTCTTAGTGCAAACAGGATACAGGACTCCCTGGCCAACCCAATCCCAAAATGTGGACAGTCGTAGAACCCGAGCATCATGCAAACTCCCAGGCTTTCCTACATTCACACTCCAGAATAGTCCTTTTCCATCCACTACTCCTTGGAGGATAATGGAATGCCAGCCTTTTTTGTTGAAGTAGTCAGTGTGGTATTCTTGTGGTGCTATTATTGGTATGTGTGACCCATCAATAGCACCAACACAGTGTGGAAGGCCCCACCTGTTCTCAAAGTAGTCAGCCATGTCTTTAAGATTTTGCCAGTCCGGAAAATGAATAATTTCAGCCTTACAGAAGTCCTGCACACACCGGCACACTGATGATTTACTGACACCAAAAAGATGACCTATACTTCTATATTCACTGTTGGTAGCCAGCTTCCACAGTGCAATGGCAACTCTTTTCCTCACAGGCAAACAGACCCTGAAGTTGGTGGTTTGCTTCTCCATCGCTGGATGTAGTATAAAAATGTTTCCTCCGACATTCTGAAATTGTCCACCCACTGTGTGTGTGTGAATCCAGGGACGGTCACATCCCACCACTCATTGGATCTACAATGATGAGTACCAAATTTTACTTAGTGTAAGAGTTTTAAAGTTGGGGGGGATTTCTTTCTTTGTTTTTGTATCCTGGGCAATAAATTTTGATACAGAATTACGCTATGTATTTTTTTCTGTTTCTCTTTTCCTAAGGTATTTTTACATGTTTCTGAGTTCCTGCATACTACAACGCTATCTGGACTCTTTCATTGCAGGACTTTGTAGCTGAATTATACATTTTGGACACTTTTTTGCATTACTTTTCAATCTCTGCATATATATGAACCTTTTTTATTTATTTTTAAGGGGATTATTTACTTAGCGCTGAAATTTATATTCACATTTGTTCTTTGGAATTGGGAAAATTATTTTTGTTTTTGCAGCTATTACTGTTTGAGTACCTTGGGTACTACTTTTATTGTTTTATTTAGATCATATATAGACTATTACGTAGGTCTTTTATTTGTAACATATGCGCTCTCTTTTTGATTATTTAAATAATACAACATAAAATACTTTACATGGACAGATAGCATCATGTATAAAAGCGAGCAACATAAATAACATAAGTAGTATTTATGTATAAGGTGTAATTCTTGAATTTTACATATGTGTGCAACATGTATGTTGTTAAATACATAATGTATATCCTCCCCATCTTATATTCAATTTTTTACATATTCTGTATTATTTTTATTTTTTAATACGTTTAGAACTACATGACAAATGGCATAAAGTTGCTTACCCTGTAGCGCTGCCGTCTTTGTCTTTGCCGCACAAAGGTGTACTTCTCCTCCCGGCTCAAGACCCAAGCCATAAGTTTTCTTCTCTTTTCTGCTGTGTTTCTCTTCGCCGCTCACAACCTTCTCTCATAAAGTGCGGCATGTACTTTAATTTCAAAGAACCAAAAGCCAAATAGAGCAAAGACGAGCTGGTGGATGACCTCCATTATTGTTATTTGTAGTGTCACGTATGTTGTCGCACTAGTGTGACGCCACACTAGGCATATGGCGTAAACCACGCAAGCCTCCAGGCGTTCCAACATGCAGTGGAAACGCTCGCCGGAATAGGCCGGACCATTCAAAACCTTCCAAACTGTACCGACCCGAACCGATCAGCTCAGTGGAAACGAGGCATTAGCATATAACAGAGCTTCACAGCAATAATACTCCCAGAAGGGTGTGTCTTTAAACTACAATACATGTATTTAGAAATCAGTCTGTGCAAATCAGATATATTGTTCTTATATAAAAAATACATTTTAATTACATAATATGTTATTAGTAAAAAACTTAAAATTTCTCAAAACAGCCCTGTCTCTGGCCACACACCCCACCCACCCCCTAAATTGAAAGTGTCCCTCTTTGTCCATTTGAAATGTTAGAAGCTATGAGATCGAGGACAGCCAGATGCTTTACAAGGCATAGTTAGAGGAAAACATTTAACACCGTTATTCTTTTTTTTTTATACTCCAAGAGTGGAATATACACAACATATGCATTACTTGTTATGTACCATAATTTACTTGTGTAATTAGGATTTTCAGGAAATCAACTTACAGAGCAGATAATTGGAATGGGTTTAGTCATTATGTAGTGGGTGTTTTTAATAGTTATTCTTAATTACAGGGTATCAGGTCACTGTGACAGACTGGGTCTGTCTGTGGGAATTTATTGAGTTAATCATTAACGCTCTCTGACCTGTTGCCATCTGTCAATCCACGTGTCCTGGACCCTCCAGGAACAATCAGGTTAACAGTACTGAGTAACAGTGATATAATGGTTTTTCTCTCTGCCGCACAATAAGAAAGGGGAGGCGTGAGACTCATCTACCTAACTGCACTGACCATTAATTGTGCTGGCCAGGGCCGTCTTTAATAACGAATGGACCCTGGGCAAGTGTTTGCTTGGGCCCCCTGTGCCCTGCCGCTCTTGCCCCTCACTCCCTGGTATGCAATCACGGCATCCATCCCAACGCAGTGGCGGTACTAAAGTAGAATGAATTTTATTGGGACCCCAATTGCAAGGTTGGACTAAAGGTAGAACCCCATCTGTCGTGCAACTCCAACAATGCTTTGACAGCTGGGACTCTACCAATTTCCCATGCTTGCAGGGTTGTATTTAGCACTGAGCCATGTTTGTATGTTTGAATGTAAGCATGTGTTTGTATGGAGTATGTTTGTGTTAATGTGTTTGTATGTGGTACTGGAGTTTGAATGCAAGTGTGCATTTATGTGTAGTGTTTGTTTTTGAATGTAGGAGTGTGCTTGTATGTAGTGTTGACGTTTCAATGCAGGAGTGTGTTTTATATGTAGTGTTGAAGTTTGAATGGAGGGGTGTATTTGTATTTAAAGTTGCGGCTCAGATGCACAGGTACACACTCTGACGCACAAGCAGATACACAGATACATACACTGACTACATACAGATAAACAGGCACATACACTGACAGACACACTGACACAGGTACATATATTGACACACACACAGACACATACACTGGTAGACGTACTGACAGACATACTGACACAGGCACATATACAGACATACTGACACACAGACACATATACCGACATACTGACACACACACACAGACACATACACTGATCAACATACTGACACACATACACTGACAGAAATACTGACACCCACACACTGACAGATATACTGACACCCACATACACTGAGAAATACTGACACACACACACAGGCACATACACTGACACACACAGACTGACATACTGACACACACACACACAGACATACTGGCACACAGACAGATATACTGACACATGCATACACATGCACTAACAGACATACTGACGCACTGACAGACATACTGACACATACACATACTGACACACACAGATATACACACACATAAATACTGACACACACACACAGACATACTGACACACACACAGACATGCTGACACACACACACACACACTAACACACACATACACTAACACACAAACACACACACTAACACACATACACTAACACACAAACACACACACATACACATACACTAGCACACAAACACACACACATACACATACACTAACACACATACACACACACACACTAACACACACACACACATACACACATACACTAACACACAAACATACACACACTAACACACACATACACAAACACACACACTAACACACATACACTAACACACAAACACACATTATTTTTTTTAAATGTAATCCCCCCCAGCCTCCTTACCTTTTAGAGTGCTGGGGGGATTCCCTGGGGTCCAGTGGTGCTGCTGGGCTCCTGGGCGGGTGGCCGGTCGGGCAGGAAGGCGGGCGCGCGAGGGAGCACTCACTGCTTCCTCTTCAGCTCCCTCGCGCGCCGCGTAGGGATGCTGGTGCCGGAAGATGACGTCATCTTCCGGCTCCGGTATCAGTGCGGTGCACGAGGGAGCTGAAGAGGACGCACTGAGTGCTCCCTCGCGCGCCCGCCTTCCTGCCCGACCGGCCACCCGGTGGGACTCAGGATGGGGAAAAAAATAAATTGATGAGGGCAGCGGGGCCCACGGGGCAGGTGCCTCGGGCCCCCCAAGAGAAACTGGGCCCGAGGCACCTGCCCCGTTTGCCCCGCGTTAAAGACGGCCCTGGTGCTGGCAGGTCAGATATTGCTACTACAATAGTTACATTTCACCACTCAGAGGGACTGGAATCTTGTCCATGAAGTTCATCGAGAAATTGTTGAGTATTGATAGATCCAGTGACAAAAAATATATGATCATAGGCGGGCTAGCTGTGTCCGTAGAGCTGTTACTGGGATACAACATCCAAATTCGTCAACCCTCCTGTGCTTACTGCAAATCACATCATTCAACCAACATCCTGTTATTGTTCTTCCTCCCTCTGACAGGCAAATTTAAAACAGGAGCTATGCTGAATTTTTTTACTATACTATACTATATCATACCGCAATATACACTACTTTGTAAAGCTGTAATGGTCATAGCCCGTCAGTGTAAAAGATATAGTTTTGTTTTTTCATTAAATACTTTATGCACAACTCATTCAATAATTAAAACATGGGCAAAGGAACTGTAGACTTGTGTTCAGGGAAAAACATTCAAATCGTGTACATATTTAAAAATATATATGCTTTTTTAATTAAATGCTACAATGTGCAGTGATATGAATAATAAACGATTACACTGATTCCCTGGCTAACCTTTCAGAAGTTCAGAATAGTTTTTGTACCCGAAAAAAAATTTCACTCTGTAGTACAATGGATTGATTAAAAATAGAAAACAAAACAATAAACAGCAATCCATAGGTTTTATCAAATCAGGACACATACGTTTTCCCAAAATATTTGTCAATAATGTACAAGTGTCCCCTCACTTATTTGTCCCCTCACTAATTTCCCCTTTCAATAATTTCCTCCAGTCTCCATATAAATTAAACTGTGAACAGCTTTCCCTCCCCACACCCTGATTCCTTTCCTGAAACTGTCATCAAAACAAAACACTAAGCCTTCAATGAATAGTATCCCAGCAACCTACTTTTCTACCCTTACCTTTTGTGTCACTTTACCCCACTCCCTCTAGCATGTAAGCTCATTGAGCAGGGCCCTCAACCCCTCTGCTCTTGTGCATCCAACTTTTCTGGTTACAAATACGTGTCTGTTAGTCCACCCATTGTACAGCGCTATGCAACTTGTTGGCGCTTTATAAATAATAATAATAATAATAATAATAATAATGAAATGATTTGCAAGAGAAAGATATTTGATTCCATTTGTTCCTGGGAATATTAGTGAGGTCTATAGTGATGCTGGGTGATTAGGTCTGGCTATCAGTTGGTGTTAGTTCCAATTCATCCTCCAGCGCTGGAGGTTGCCTCTACTGTCCTCCTGCAAGCACAGCACTGTATTGGA